TTTCCTGGCCCTCACCACTGTCTAGTCCTAGTTTAAAACTTCCCTTACAGCCGAGTTAATACTAAGAGCTTTAGCAAGCAAGCCAGCCCCCTACCATATTTAAATGTAAACCATTCATTCCAAAAAGCTCCCTTCTTCCACTGAACTGATTCCACAAGTCCAAACAGCCAATCTTCATTCTTACATACTAACCTAAGCCTAGCATTTAACCCTAGTGACGTACTTATAACTTCATCCCCACAATTAATTCTGGACAGTATCCCTGATAAAATTACATAATGGCATTTTTATTTAAATGCCTTTATAAACCCCTTGTACTTATTAATTAGCTCCTCTGTTCTACCTTTCCCTACATGCACCACAAAAACTGTATCTCTGCTAGCCCTCTATATTATATCTCCTGCTCTGTCAGTTATATCCTTCACCTGTCCCCCAGGGTAGCATAATCTGATTCTTTCCTCCCTATTTACCACCACAGACTATTCTATCCACATGCCTTGTCAAAAATATCACCTATAACTATAACCTCATTATCATCCACATCCTTTTCTGACCCTTTTGTTTTCTTTCCGTCCAATTGTTTTTTATTTGCAGAAGCCAAGAGCTGAAATCTGTTGCTCAACAGAATAAGCCCGTTATAACTAAATTCACTACTTTTTACTCCAATATAACTCTTTATAACTCAGATTAGTTTTATCAGAAGTTTATGGAATTGTTATATCAACAGGATTTACAAATCACTATTTTAAGCTGTGTCTTAGAATAAGTATTCTTATAAAATTATTTTTTTTTTTCGTAAGATAAAATAATACAATTAAAATTGTTTACAAGTAAGTCTTGTAAATATTGCTCTTCTAAGAAAAATAAAATGAAAGATTTTCTTAACCCATGAACACCAGTGCGGGGCACTTGTTCATTTTCTCAAGGTGTTTGTGCTTTGGTCATAAGCCTATAATTTAACAGTTGAATTTGTACGTAATTCATATGTATATATATATATATATATATATATATTACCATTTAACAAAGTGTGTATAATATGCTACTGTAAACTTGTCTAGTTTTGTTGATTGTGTGAGAGTTTATGGCCCACCTTCACAGCATCAGCTTATTATTATTAATCATTATGTACACCTACATGTTACTACATATTATGTAGGTTGTGTGAAAAGAAAGAGTATTATATTTACTTTTTTATTTTGAATTATAGCAGAAGTACTAAGCCTATCATCCACCATCCCTAAATTTGAAATATTGACTTAAGGGAAGGCAACTGGCTGGTAGCACCCATAACCAACTTTTGGTCTGGTTTAGTTTTATCGTTCTAATGTATAGCCCCCCAGTGGAACAGCGTTATGTCTGCGGACTTACAACGCTAGAAACTGGGTTTCGATATCCGTGGTGGGCAGAGCACAGATAGCCCATTGTGTAGCTTTGTGCATAATTACAAACAATCCAGAGATCTTCAATCTAAGGGACTAGGTTAAGAATATAATAGGCCTAACATAATGTCTTATG